ATACAGCAGCAGAATACAAAATCAACTTCAACTTGTTGGAATTGGTAAATGTGTAAAAATCTGATATCAATGAGAATTTTTAATAGAATTTTTTTTTAGAGTTTTCAACCTTCATTATTTTTTGTAGCTTTAACATGTTGCCTCACCAAAGTAAAGGTTTATGGTAATTATTTGTAAACCTGCACTGCAAGGTCCGTCACCCATGCCTTTATAAAATTATGGATGAATGTACACTGTTTCTCATCTTTGAAATTGAAACACATTTTAATAAGTGTTTTGGTGGTATATCTCAATCAAAATGACACGTTTAATGTGAATAACAGCCTTTATTGCTGATGATTACTAAGCACTCAGAATTGCTATCCAACATGAATGGTGTTATATAAATGTAAGTTGCTGCTGTTGAAATGAATGAGCAATGGCCATATTGTGCTTTTTGTATTTTTGTTGTATTAAGTGGAAATTATTTGCTGTAATATACATGATATCATTGATTGATTGATTGAACTTCAGAGTATCTATCACATGAACAAATTAGCATTTAATAACTAAAGAGAGTGAAGATTGGATGCACTGCATTTCCTTCTTGTGCGGTTGGCATCGCTGTGAAAATTGGATGGATGTGGGAGGGCAACTTTAACCCTGTACCTCTGCCGTTGAGAAAGATTGGTTTGTCAGCATATTTCAGGCCTGCAGCATAATTAAAACCACATGTGAGTACTCAAAATGGTGACTCGCCACCTGCCTACAGAAGGGAATCAGAAGTGATGGGCTGACATTCTACCGTTCAATTATTTAACAGTTCCCTATTTATATATGGATATTACCGTGGATAAGTGAAAGCAAGGTTTTGTTTTTGACCCACTGCAAAGCATGTGTAATATACCTGATGCCTGTTAAAGAGAATTCTTTCATGTCTTGGTTCACAAACGTTGACATGACTTATACTTTGGAAGAAAAGTTTGGTAAAGTTATGCAAACAAGAAACTGTTGAATTTTTCCCTATTCCTTTCCCTCAACCCCCTCATCATACAAGGAGCTTCACACACCAGCCTGATCTACTCCTCATCTGATGTCCACCCACATGCATTTTCCAGCAGAGGACTTTCAATACAGGTCAGGAGTGAAAGCCCTGATCTTGTTCCTAACTCAGGGAAACTAAGACTAAATGTAGACTTCAACTACTACCCTGTCATGAAATCAAAAATACATTGGCCTAATTGGAATAGCTGAAGTTTATTTGACCTTCACAGGTAAGACCTCCTTATTACCTGTTCTGGGCTGGGCCACTTTGTTGTTTTTAATAGATGGCTTTTTGCTGGGGTAGACAAACTGCTTTCTTCTTTTCACTGCCTTTCATGGAAAAAAAAATACATTGGCCTAATTGGAAACTGCTGTAGCTGAAATTTATTTGGGTTCTGTTGCCCTGAGAAAACTATTCTTAATAGAGGAGACCATCTCTTCAGCATATGATTGTTGAAAGTTGGTTCTTGGCTGCATATGTGGTTTGCATTGATGCATTAAGGTATCTTCTTCTGCGGGTGGAAACAAATTTTACGCTGACTGCTGAGTTGTATACTTTTGATCAGTATTAGAAGGTAACAGTTTCTGTCATTGATGAAGTAAAAAACTAATTTACTCAGTTGTCTAGTAGTGCATGGGGAATGATGCAGCCATGTCACAGATCAGAAAATTGTAAAGCAGGACTGATTTGTGGAGTGGACAAGGGCCCTATCCTTACATCTCTGTCTCTTTCAATGTATTGTTTGAAATAAGCTTGCAATTGGCTTGAAGTAAGTTCACTGCACAGAAGAGACCATTCAGCCATTGTGTTTATGCTGGTACTAGATCTCCTACCAGAGCAACCCACTCTCATCCATTTCCTGAATTTTAGCCTTCAGTAGTATTCCTCGAGTATTTATCCAGTTGACTTTTAAATGCTGTTGTGAAATTAGCTTTAACAATAATTTCTGATAAGGAATTCCATATTCTAACAGCAAAAACTACTTGCACTTATAAAGTGCCCACCACCCATAATTTAATATAAGTGAAGGGCACTGTTATTTTTATTATTTTATTACTCAGAAGCTGTATGTATTATATCTGACTTGCAAGTGCTTCAAGCTCATGTTAAATGCCAAAATGTGAGCATTTCTCAACGCAGACATTCATTGCCCTTGATTTGCATTTAACAAAAACATTTCAAGTATGAAAATGGTGAGTCTGGCGTATATTTATGTGAGGTCTCCAGCATTTCATTAATTTTGCATCTTGGTTGTAGGGATTAGGAGATTTTAAAGTATGCTTGAGCTAAATTATTGTGTGGTGTGGTCGGTCCATCTGAACTGGATATAAAAATTAGGCAACAGAGCTCCTTAAAATTTAGATGTTGTTTTGTGCTATTGGCAACAATTTTACAATCCTGATGTCTGTTGCTATTTTTAAGCCTGTTATTGAGGCATGTTCAGTTATATATCAGTTCATATATAATTTTTCACCAAAACAAAGAGGCCTTTATTCTGGCATTGGTGATGCCTTCTGGAGTAGATTTGGGTTGAATTGGGTTGAATTAACTGCTGAATGAGCAAGAGCTTCATGGGCTTTGGTACAACATGGTGCGTGTTTGTGAGTGTGTGTGCGCGCGCGCACGGACAGATTCTTAATTGCTTTTCAAGGGTTATGTAGGTGTTGGGGAATGGGACACTTTTAGCAGCCAGTTTTCTTAAGCATACCTGGTTTTATCATATGCAGGTGACTAAATGGAACAACCTTTATGTTGGGTCTTTACGATGAGAATGAATTCAAGATTGTGACTAGTGCAGTAAAAGCTTGGAAGAACTTCTTCTCCCAGAAGCTTGTCAGGATATGGAATGATTTGTCAGAGTGACTTTTAGAGCAGAGTTGATTGGGGGGTATGTAAAAGAGAATTAGACAAACGCATGCAGAGAATTAACAGGGTACAGTGAAAGGCAGAGAATTGGGATGAGGACGGATGGCTTCTTGGAGGTGCAAACACCGACATAAAAAATGGGATGAGCAGCCTCCTACAATATTATAAATTTCTATGTTTCTGTAAATTAGGCATTCACTTCATAGCTGTATGCAAATGGCTGTGGTTGCCTATTAAAAAGTGACTACAATTGACCAGAACTACTGTACAAGTAAACTGCTTTGAGTCATTTTGATGTCAATAGGAACACAGGGTGATCCCCATTGTAAAGTGGAGATCTGAGTCCATGAAATCAACCTCCGCACCATAGCACTTCTCTGTGAAAACAAAATGCACGACGGTCCAACTTCCGGGCCACCAAGGTGTCTGGCTTCCTCGTGCTTCTCTGTAGCACACAGGAAACCAGCTGATCAGCCTTGACCACTGTCCTAAGTGTTTCTTGTCTATATATATATATATATATAGATAGTGTTGTATGTTGCAAGCATGTGCAGGAAGCTGACCAGAAGCTAGAAGAGTACTGGAGGTGACAGCTGCAACATACGATAACTTGAGCTTTTATAACTGTGTGCCCTATATATCAAATGTAAGGATTATTATTACTTGTTATTATAATGCATTTTAGCAATGTAATTTCTTTCTTTAGCCTAATCTATATGCATAAAATAAACAGTTGATTGGTTATTTTTTGAGGGATGTTGCTGAGGGAGATTAGCTGCCACATTTGACTACATGACAACCACATTACATTATGTGAACCTTTTTTGAGATGTTTCTTTGCCATGATAAAGCAGTGGCAAAGAGACTACTAATATTTTCATGTGCATTCTGATAACTTCAGAGGAGTCTCAGAATGGATTAGTCATTGTCATCTGAAATTTTTAAATCATGGAATTTGTTCTATTGCTGTGGTTCGTTCTACTTATCTGGAGAATTGTTGCGCTTTTAAAACAACTGCTGTATTTCTCTTGCCTATAACAATTACTCTGGTTAAAAAAAATTGTTGTAGAGAAATTTTAAAACAAATTCTGTACTCGTGACCAATAGTATTGTGATGGTTCATTATAATGTATGAGGGTTTTGCACAGGGAGAGAGAGTAATTGAGAAACAATCTAGAGATTTACCATTGATGCGTCAGGTCTTTTACAATCCCACAATGTGGATGCATCTAGAATGTCAGCTGCAGCATTAAATTGTGCATGTGTGGGCTTTGACAACATTTTCAACCAGTGCTTGTAACAGTTTGCAAATTTATCCTGTTAATGTACTAATGAAGCTGTAATGGGAATAGAGGAATAAAGGACAACAACAACTTGTATTTATATATCCCCTTCACGGAGGGTAGTGTCTTCGAGTGCTTAACTGTGACGGAGCCTGATGCCAGGGGGAGGTAACTAAGCACAGTCAAAGAAGAAGGTCTTTCAGTGTGATCTGAAAATGGGAAAAGAGGGCACAAAACAGAAGTAGTAGTTTCTTTAAAAAGGCCTTGGGCTACATCTATGGTACTGCAGTAACTTTCATTATTGGAATGCAAAATCCTTCATTGCTCTGTATGTTGTACTGGAGGCTCTTTTCACCTTGCATTGCTCAACTATCTGAAATAGACAGAATGCAGAAAAGTATTTGATCGCTAGTTGTAAGACTGTGGGCTCCTGAAAATTGTTCTCATGTGTCCGGCTTTGTAAAAGCCAATTGCTTTCAGGTATATAGCACAATGGAATAGACTGAATGGTTTCCTTCGTTGCTGTAATTTCAATGAATTGAATGCAAATCATAACGAAGGTACCTTTGACTTTTATCCCTTTTTTGAAGGGAGGAAGCATTGTTCAGTGTTCGCCCACAAATATACAGTCACTCTACTTCATAGTAAAATCCTGTGAAGTGCTTTGGGATGTCCTTCTGACATGCAAGGCACAATACCAAATGCAAGGATTATTATTATTGAACAGACTCCTTGCAGTACCAGGCGAAAATGGTTTGAGTTGTCAAACACTTTGTAACTTCTGGCTACCAAATTCAATTTGTGTCTTCTTTATTGCTGTTTCACAGGTTCTGCCACAAGACGCTATAGAAAGAATTACAAAGAGGATAAAGGGGTGACTTGAAGACATTGTTGGAATAGGAGAATCTGCCTTTTTTTTCACCCAAGACAACCGAGACATAAAAAGAAGCAATAAGTGAGTTACATTCACATTTCAAACCAGTAACAACAAGTTGTATGATCAAACGAAACTGGTGCCCTTTTGAAAAAGAGATGTGATCATGTTTGGCTTAGATGTAATTTGTACTGGCATTTCTGGAGTCTCTGATGTCAACTGCAATCTTCCAAGTGTATATTTCCACCAATGTTTGAGATGGCTACAATCTTCCAGTGTCCATTTCTAGCAGTTCTACAAGTCCTTGCGTGTTTTTGACAATGCATGGAACACTGATTTCGAGGGTGACTTGTCCATCATACTTTGGATCTTCAGAAAAGGTGGAATTATTAACACCTTAAACAGGTTTAACTTTTTTTAGTGAGTTCAATTGATTTTGTTTCTAGTTCTTATCTCCGTGTGCATATTTCTCTGCTCCTGGCTTCAAGCTGTCTCTTGCTGTATTCAACTGCTTTACATAAGGAACTGCGAACTTAATAAACTTTCATTACCAGTCGACAAGAAAAGGAGGTATTGGTGGATGACTGTGGAAGCTGCTACAAAGAATTAATATGTTTCAAAGTACCATTTGGAATGGTATTGCAGGTGCAGAATTGGGTTGTTTGGATGAAAATTCTGGGCCTCATCTGAAGGCAAAGCAAAAATGTTAACGTTGCTTGTAGCCTGAAAAGCACAGCAACTGAATGAACCAAAATCTTTAAATTGGAGTAGTTGGGTTTCACTCCTTGAGACTGATGAAAATTGGGATTCCTGTTTATGGGAAAAAACATTTGCAGTTGCATGCACTTGTCATGTCCCAAAATATATACTGTATCCCAAGATATTATTTTCTAAAAGAAATCTTATCCAATTTGCTTTAGAAAGAATCAACACTTTCTGCTTCCACTGTCTCCCTTGGGAGCCTGTTCCATGATTTACTTAAACATTGATGTGGAACTCAACACATGGTTTCTTAAGTGAATATTCATAAACTTTGTTTTTAACTTTTTCTGTATGCTGGCTTTTCTGTCATTTTTAAAAAATTGACTTGTAATTTTGAACAATACTTCTAGGTTTGAGTGAAACCATATAAATCAATAAATTTAAGGAGCTTAATTAGTTCTCTACAAGATTATTGTGGATTTGATCCCTGATCAGTTGCTGACCCTATTATGTTTAAAATGAATTAATTGCTGTAGAATAAATCACTACTTATGCATTAATACAGTGAATACATGCATTGCGTCACCTTATATGTTGATACAGTGAATCCCTGACTGCACATTGATATAGTGTAGTGTTTTAAGTGCTCTGAGATGCTTCCCCGCATGAGGCATGCTGTATAAATGCAAGTTAGTGAATATTTGCCTGTTCATAGATACAGTGTAGTGTATTTATGTCTGGCTGTTCAGGAAGTACATTAATACTGGGCAACTATACAACATATAGTGGGAGATGAAGATTAACACTTTCATTTGCCCCACATAATCGTGGCTGTGTTGTCAGGAAAGTACAGTATTACCCGGAGATGAGGGGGTTAAGCAGTTCTTCCTACTTTTTCCCCTCCTCCCCCTACACACGCACACACAGACACACACATACATATGCACATGCATACACACATGCACACAGAAAACTAGACAAAGAGCCACCTTCGCCTGCTTTTGCACTCCTCAAAGTGGGTGGTTGAGTGGTATTAAGCTTGAAAAAATGGTCTCCTGAACAGTGCAAGTGGGTGTATACTGAATTAAGCTATGGTTGGACAAGTATTATTGCCTTCAGTACTGAGAATACTGAGTCAATAATGTTAAGGAACATTTGCTGATGTGCATCCACTTTGACTCTTAAGGATCAGGGTTTTTTTTTCCTTATGAGTGTTGAGCTCAAAGGCTTAAGCAAGCGTATCTGATCTTCCTTGGACCAAGTGTGTGGCAAGGATTTAAAGTAGAATTAGAATCACTATAATGTAACTCTAATTTTTGCCATTAACCTTAGACACCCCAAAGCACAGACAAGACTGGGAAAGGCCAGTGCAATCCCTCTGGATGGTTCAGAAGTTAAAAAAAAACTCATACAATTTAGTGTTTAAAATCAACACTGATTGACGTCCTGTCTTGTGGGCTGGGGAGGAAACTTGGCAACTTGTATTTCGTGATTTAGTTCAATACAATACCAATTTACATTTATAGAGCGCCTTTCACATCAGGCGGACAGTACAGCCGAAAGCCATGCACACCAGTGGGGTGGATGAACATGTTCTAGTCTGGACCAAACATTCTGCAACATCAGGAAGATGTGTCCTCCCAAAAGGTTAATCAGGCCAGAATTGGGCCAGTTGTTAGCATGTTGACCAAACGTCATGCTTATCAGTAGCACAAAAACTGTGCCGAAATATATTGTCATTTGAAATAGTTCTGCCCAAAAACTGGGTGAGATGGATATGGCTGTACTCGTTAATTTTTTTAAAAACACTGACAGGTATGTAAAAACTCATTTTTAAGGGCTAATTATTCTGTTGGCAATAGCTTTGGGAAAGAAATGTTATGGTCGTCAAGGTGGTGGTGGGCGGCGGGGGGGGAGAGAAGTTCTGCAAGATTTAGTCATTGAAGTATATCCCCCTCCTCCCTCATTTCTTCCATCCTCCGTGCCAAGTCACAATAGAACCCCTGTCAGTTAGATTCAGGATAAAACTTCCATCTGTAGTAATATGCCTTACGTTTCTAACCTTAATAACCTCCTCGAGTGAAGATTTTCATTGGTAGTGGAAGGGGTGGAGATCAGGTGCTGATTCCTGCTCAGGTTAACCTTGCTGTCGAGGCCAAATGTCTAACGCACTGCCCAAGTTTCTTAAATAATGGATACTTTTTGAAAAAAAAGTTTGAACGTTTAAGAATGTGTTTATCAGTATTCTGGGTCTCTGCAACATCGAGTGATCTTTGCAGATGGGTATTGTACTCCATTGTCTTGTATTGGAAAATGATGAGTTAATTTTGTGGATAATATATTCTGTGACATCCTGTTATACAGATGCGTAACATGTGCAGAATTCTGTATGCAGAATTAATGCAATCGAGTTTGTAGAGAAATTTGCTTATTGGTGAGATAGATTTATCAAAATACCTAAGTGGATTTTATGTTATTATAAAGGATATGGCTGTGCATAATTCATCCGTACAACATGCCTAGCTGATTTAATAACCTAGATTTGATGACAAGTATTAATAGTATTTCAGATTTTTGTGTGTGAGATGAGTTAGATTACCCCTGACAAATGCATTGTGATTTTATTTTGGCTTGGTTTTGTGGTGGAATAGAGAGTTCATCTATAATTCAATAGGGCACATATCTGTTGAAAGAGCTGGGCTTTGTCCAATCATTTTCAAACAATAAGCTATATCTACTGGTATATCCTGGAAATAATAGTATAAAACTTCAGTCCATTGAGATCATGCCTCAATAACATTCAGACTAAGATAGAAACCTTATCCCATTACCTTATCCCTATTGTGGAAGCCTGGCTCTCATCATTGAGTTGGGAAGTTGTGGGTTCAAACCCCATAGTCTAGGCTGACGCTGCAGAGAAATGCTGGGGGTGTGCTGCAATGTTGCAGGTGTCTTCCTTCGGATGAGATGATAAACTGAGGTCTTGTCTGCCTGTTGAATTAAACAAATTAAATAAATCAGATTGAGTTAAACAAAAATCACCCGAAACTGTATCTCCAAAGACAACTACCAAACACTTTGAAGCCCAAAAATTGTGCCATAGTGTATCGACTGCTTTGACTGTAATTTTCACCCCTGTGCTTGAGTTCTTAAAATCGAGGTATTAAATGAAGGCTATAGGAGGAGGGCACAGCCATTGTAACAGATGCTCACATCTGTTATGGGGATGAAGTTGAAGAAACTGTCAATCCAACCTGACAGCGTTAAGCTAGTGTTCATAAAATTTCACACGAGTTAGCTATTTGTGAAACAAACTCAGCTTTGTGAGGGTAGAGCATTTGCAGCTTTTTCCCCATAACAGTGAACCCCTGTTAGTGTGTGACCCTCTCCATTCTCCTTATGTACAACCATTTACTAAGAACCAAAACGTAGATTTAGTTTAACACCTCCTACAATGGATAGTAGGGGACTGTTACTTTGGATAGAGTTTCTGACCTAGGATTTGTTTATCTGTTAACTCCTATCATTGGCCTTGAATAGCATTGTGAATAACTCTGTCGCTGTTGTCTCTGATAGCCTTTCATTCCAGATTATCCTTGCCATTTATCAGAGAGAGAGTTTTTCCATTTATACTCTTTTGGTTCTGCTTTCTTGGTTAACTATGAACAAATAGTCTGGGGTGATAAAAGGCCATGATTGTAGCTGTATTTATTGGTGTTGGGAGTCAAAACCCTCAACTAAATTGCCTGGAAGTTTTCCTCTTCCAATTTCTCTATTCCTCCCATCCTCTCATGGCTTTGATTCATGCTGGTCTCTAGCCGTATTGATGCCAGGAGTAGTCAAAAGGCTATCTTTGTTCCTGTTATATGGTTGTACCTGGTGAAATCATTCTAAAAAACGTGCACCCTTGTGAATGTTAAATAACAAGGTTAGAGGGTGTGAGTTTGTTGAGAATTTGTGGTCAATAAGGTAGGGGAAGATACTGATGTCAGCCAAAATGGCCTTGCTTTTGTATAATTGCTAATAATCCTTACGTTTCATATAGCACCTTTCAAGTTGGGAGGATGTTGCTCAGTGGTTAGAGCGCTTGCCTTGCAAGCGAGAAACCTGGGTTTGATTCCCGGCAGGGCAAAACCTTGGGTAAGTTTTCTTACTCCACACGCCGGATACTAATCCCTCAAAAAATAAAAACAATAATAAATTGGTCAATGCACGACTGTTTGTGGGACATTGCTGTGCGCAATTGGTTGCTGCGTTTCACCCACAAATATACGGTCGATTCACTTTACAGTATATTCTGTGAAGCACTTTGAGGCATCTAGAAGACATGAAAACCGCTATATTAAATGCAAGGATTATTATTATATTATGTTTCAAAG